TATAATATTCGTAAAGATGCAAATCATTTAAAATCTTTAATAATTACAGAGGAAGAATGGAAAGCTCTTGAAGAATTGACTGCACTCTTGGCCCCTTTTGCTAAAATTACTAAATTATTAGGAGGTAGTAATTATTCTACAGTTAGTTTTATATGGCCCACTATTACTACTCTTATTAGAAATTGTAAACCATTATTAACAAGCATAACCGGTAATGAAATTGATGAAATTGACTTAACAAATATGTTAACGATCTTTGATGAAGAGAAGGAGGATGATATAGTCGATTTGGATGAAGAATCAGATCTAATAACAACTGCTAATGGAGGTAAGTTTAAACTTAGTTAACCCCAAAATACAGATAATTTGATAGAAAAGGTAAAAGAAAATTTACATAAAGCATTAAATCATTATTGGGATACACCTCTTGATAGTTCATTAATCGCAATGTTACTTGATCCTCATTGTAAATCAATGACAAAATTGGATAATTGAGAGCGTAATAAGGCTATTAGTCTTTTGCGAGAAAAATATAATTCACTTTGTGTTGAGAATGAAAATATTACCAACTTACCAAATGAAGCACCAAAAGAGAATCAAATGCAACTTTTTTCAATTATATTTGGGTCAGATATAGCACTAGTTAAAAATGAAGTAGATAAATATCTTAAGAACAATCAAGTATTAGCTACAACTAATCCGCTTAAATGGTGGAAAAATATTCAAGAAAAATTTCCAGTTCTTGCCAGTTTGGCCTGCAAATATTTGGCCATGCTAGCCACTTCAACACCCAGTGAGCGCTTATTTTCAAGTGCAGGTAATTTGATGACAGCAAAGCGTACATCAATTAATAGCGGTTTATTTGAAAGAATCCTTTTTCTTAAATGAAATGTTGGCATCTTGGGTACTATCTTTAAGCCACAATCGAATTAACGCTATATAGTACTTACAAAGATTGATAATCAGTGATATACATTATTTGTATTACGTGACTTTAAATTTAAAATCTAAACTATATATTAGCGTTAGATATATAACTATATATTGGGCT